GAACAGCTTATCCCTCGGCTGAACTCCCTTAAGAGAATCCCAGGAGGAGAAGAGAAAGGCCTTCAACCGAAAAAGATGCCTATCTTGATCTTACGACTGACCTTCTCACTCCCCCTCTACTCTAACTTTCCATTTAATTCGCTAAGTCGTTCCCTCTATCCTTTAACTCGACTAACTTCGTACCTTACACGAGACGCAGATTCCCAGCGATAAAAATAACCTTTCAGAAGGATTCTACACATGAGGACAAGAAGACGCATTAGAAGGCCATATAGAGCCTAATTGAAAGAAGACTTTAAAAGGGCAAGTCGTTAAACCTTCCTATGTCTCCGGGTTTGTGCCAACTGGATGAAATCCTATACCTGATAGCCATCTCAATAGTGACTTGATCTAATAAAGGGATCTTTAGTTGAATCATTTCCCCTCGGATGAGGTCTCTCTTATTTGGTATGATTTCCAGCTTCGCCACCCTCCTACCTATCTCTTCCATCTTCACCCCATCTAGAAGCCAGAATGGGAAATTCCAGAAAGAGAAATGAGGAAAGTCCTATTCTTTTACACGATATGAACTAGAACATAGTTTGAAAGCCAATCTCCGTTCCATAATCCAGCAGAGGTATCCCCGCATGAAGTACTACTATCCTCCCGGATCAAGGCTTGGCTTGCTCTATTCCACACTGAGGAAGCTGTGAAAGATTGAGTTGAGGTTGGCAAACATGTTATCGCTCATCCATAGCTCCTAGTGAGGGGAGCTATAGCATTAGCGGTTACGGGTATCTTAATAGAAGAGAGCAGATAGGAATCTCAAATCTCCTCTTATAAAGGCTATAGGGATTTATCTGGGTACTGACTTGAGCAAGGGGTTAGCTTATTCTTTGGTTTCAAGATCAAGAGTGTTACGCAATCAAAGAAGGGATATACACTTGGGTACGAGACCGACTAAATGGATAGGCAATGAAGCTCAGTTTGAGTCTGATTCTTCTGAGTGAAGAACTCCCTTTCTTAACTATTTAAATTGTGTTAAGTAAGATAAGCGGGCATAAAGTAGTAGCTAGAGTAGGAGTTCATAGTTAGAGATGCAAGTTTTTGTAAGATGTCAATTTTAGTAGATGAAGTAGCAAGGGCATCTTCTTCAAGCAGAGGTGCGAAGATACTCGAATAAGCAGTCGTTTCCCTCTTTCATCATAGTCTTGTAGGATAACTCTCCCAAAGGTGAATTCCTTCCCTATCATATTTTAGAGGTGTGTTGACAAAGGAAGGGTGTAACCCAACAAGGAAGGGGCACATTGCCAATCTGACCATTACAGAAAGCAAGGTTAGAGTCCTACCTTCTTCTTCTTCTTCTTCTTTGTTTCCCTAATTTCATACCAGCTTCTGAGTGGAAAAGAGAAAAGCATCAAGAGATGCTGCAAGACCAAATACCAGAGAATCAAGCGGGAATCCACAGAAGAAGCTTGACCGGGGGTTTCAAACTAAGCTGATTGGCAAACAAGGAGTTTCCCACCTCAACAGGAAGAGAATGAGGCATCTAGCTCAGTAGCAGTGAGAGAGGGCTCTACTAAAGGAGAGGTTTGAAGATCTCGATTTTAAGGAGAGGAGTGAAGTTCTCTTAAGCGGATGGCTTCCTCCTGAGCTCTAGTTAAGTTCCTCGGATTGAGATAGAGAGCCTACCGACCCCTTCCCTTTTTCAATAGGACTAAATAAATAGTTAATATAGATAAAGGTCTGAATGATTGGCTTGTCTAAGGCTGACCGTACCTAGTGCTTTGCTTAGTTAGTCGTTTACCTTTTCTTTGGAAAGATGATGTTGGAAAGCGGTTAGGAAGCAACTCCTTATAAACTAGAGGTACTGACTTTCATTCCCAAAGGCTAGGCAGCAAGTGCAGAAAGGAGAGGACTCATTTATGTGAGAAACTATCTTATGAAAGATATTTTATGGATTCGATTACAACATATGACATATGCTTTAGTTTACTTTATATCTGGTTATTCTAAGATGTAAGTAAGCTTCCTCTTTATTTCGGTCTTACGATCCACTTAGTTTTAGTAGAATTTGTTCCGGTCATCATAACATCAGTCGGTGATTCCATTCCTGGCGAAGGCTAAGTCCCTGGAATCTTTGACAGTAGGGTCAGAATCAACCTAGTTCTCATAGCAGGGAGTAGCGACTGCTTAGTATGTTAAGCTGCAATTCGTTAATTGAAATGCGACTTCCAGACTGGTAGATGTGTGCAGGGTGAAAGAACGAAAACCTGCTGGCATCGATACAGACAGACTTCTTAATTAGCTGTCATCAAGCTAGCCCGCTTGAGCGATTCCTTACACTTTAGAGATTTAGGAAAGCATGTTCCACCTTCTGCAGATGAGCCTAATTGACTCCTTTTTCAGAGGTCAGCTAGGAAAGGGGGTGGCCATTATTCTTAGTAGAAGATGGCAGTTTAGAGGATCCAAAGAGCTAAGATTCGATAACGAAAATGACTGATAAGACCCTTAGTCTACTAAAAAAGCATTAGGAGAAGCCTTAGTACACGAAATAAATATCGAGATAGCTGAGACGAAGACTACTTCACTATACGAGAATCCCAGGGGTTATGAGCCGGTAAGAAGAGGCCCTCGAGAGACCTTCCCAGTTAGTCAATTAAGGCTTCCCGCTAGGGAGGTCTGATCTTCTTAAAAAGAGACATAGGAAAGAAAGAGGCCCTTGGACCTTATGAGAGGAAGAAGAAGGAGTTGACTCACTACCACTACCGAAGTTACTGGAGAACTACGACAAAGGGGCGGTGGCCTTTAATAAAGCGACTAGAAGACCAAAGATGAAGTTTAACTGCATTGAGATATACCAACTTTGCATGATCGATATAACAAGGATCCAAAAAGACGATCTTTCGACAGAATGAAATGCTTCCTACCGATTTGACGAGAAAGAAAGACATTCCAGAAGCTTCACTTGTGCCTTAGTAGTCTCAAATAGGACCAAATCACATGAAGGGAGTTGAAGAATAAGAAAAGGGCTTACCCCTAGACCTGACCAAGATAAGTAAAACCGGTAGCTAAAAGAAAGGTCCCTCGAGCTTTATTAGTAGTTACACGAGTGCTCATATCAATACCAAAACACAAACAAAGTGCCTGGTCTTTAAGCCTGATAATGCCACAAAGAAAGAGCACAAGCAGGAATCCCTGCACCGTATCCATACTGAAGAGACTTGAAAAGGTCTCAAAGAGACGATATACACCAAAAAGACATTAGGAGCACTCATTCCTTGTACCCGGGGAACTTATTCATAAGGGAGGGGATCTACACCAGAAAAGGAGTTTACGGACGGTTCCCATATAGACACTATGGCCCACCCTTTCTTGAACCTTGTCAATGATCGAACTTAAAGATATGAACTGAGTTCCATTTGATAAGTAACTGAGAACAAGGGATAAGGATATGGAAAGGATAAAGTAATGAAAGACGAAGTCATTGCTAGTAGTAACGACTTGTCACGATCCATTGGTTCATATAAAATCCATGTCCTAGGTGTATCAAAAAACATTCTTTTCGTTAAGCGTATATAATAAGATAAAGTGAAAGGTCCACCCCGAAAGGGGCTACTAACTAACAGTTGAGTCATCTCCAAACCGCAGGAGATAGTTTCCCATCATACGGCTCACCAACTTCACTTGCCTCTATGGGAGACTCGCTCCGGGCAGGTTTGGATTACAATACACGGCTCTACGAAGGAAAGGGTTGGTGGGTTGGGAACATTTTTAATATTATTATTTTTCCGCGATGAGAAATGAAAGACGAAAAAGGAACCCATCTTTTCGACTGGAAAATGCGAGTGTGTTTTGTCCATTTTCTCCATCCCTTTCTATCAAAATGATAAAAAAGGAAGGCGATCTTGCTTCTTATTCTCGTGTTCGATCTCTTCCATCTCTACCCCGATCGTTGTCACCTATGTTGAAGAAAGGTTTGGAACCCTGTAGAGAATGAGGAGGGGCCAGGGATCTTCCTCTCAACAGTTCTTCTCGAGGATCCACTCCCCCCCTGAATAAGTAAGGCCTTGTTATCCTGGGCAAGGGGATAGGGAATAAGGATGGAAGCCCCCTTAACGCTGCTAGGGACTGGACAGGGTTTAGCTCTGTAAATGTGTAGATCCGAATGTAGTATGGTGTAGTAGTTGGCACTTCTGGGCCCCTTCTCGGCTACTGAACCACTCCAGTTCTTTGGGTACTACGGACCCTCTTCCATCCATTGCAGTAGAGCCGTTTCATGAGCGGAGGGGGGGGGGAGGTGGGCTAAGCGCAGTTCTTTAAATCAAACGTTTAATGAAATCGATTATTTTTTAGATATAAAAATAAAAATAGGATATGATAGATGGATAGAACTAAAAATAAAAATAAAAATATATATATATGACTAAATAAATGGATTTATTTAAGTAGAGTAGCAAGAAACCCCCAATCCTTGATTTGGCCAGGAAAGACTACAATGCTTTGGGCCCAGGAAGCGAAGGGAATGAGTTCGGCTTCTTATCCGCCACACTTATTTTTTATCTCCGTGCCCCTTTCGCATGCGCTTCGCACACCATTAACGCTTTCCTCTCCTCTTATTCCATATTGGACAGTTCAGATGGACTTCTCCGTTCTTTCCCAACAAAAATAGAAAAGGTTGTATCACATCGAGATGTCGATTTGTTTTCCGCCCCTAATAAGATGGGGAATTTGTAACCCCCTATTTTTAATTTTGTTTGGACCCTTCATCTTTCTGAATGGAGGCCCGAATCACGTCGTTCCAACAACTAGTGGGGAGCACCTCAGTATACGATCGCGCGCAGTAACTGGGAGTCCTTTTTTTTTACACCTAAGGCAAACTTCAATTCACCAAACCAAGGTTCATCTCGTGTAGTGATTGTGGACTAGTACAAGGATATTGAGTAGACGATTGATGTTTCAGACTCGACCCTATCTTTCGTAGCATGCATTCCCGTCGGTGTCGCAACTGATTCAGTAAGCTACGTGTCTGGTGCACGGAGAATTTGCTTCGGTCCCTCAAACTTACTGACTCGTGGCAACCTTCTGGCTGCCCAACAACCTATAACGCTAGTCACTACCCCCACTGGGGCTAGGAAGTAAGCCCCACAACCCAAAGCCGCGAAGAACAAATAAAATTGGCTACAAAAGCTGGCTAACAAGGGTATTCCTATGTATGAGAACATAGTAATGGAGAAGGTTATTGCCGAAATAGGATTTGTTTTGGCTAGAGCGCCCAAATTTGCTATATATTTGACACGGGTTTTCCGTAATTCTAAAACTATGGTGAATGCATCTATCGTCATTAATGCATAAACAAAGATACCAATTAGTAGTGATTGAATTACTTTTATGGTTCCACATGAGAACCCAGTACGAATATAACATACATGTCCAATTGAACTATGAGCTAGAGGTCTTTTTACTTTCGTTTGGGCCATGGCGGCCAGCGCTCCTAAAATCATAGAAGCCATGCTGCAGAAATAGAAGATTTGTTGCAATGTAGATCCATAGGAACCATAAATAGAAACACGTGAAATATTAGCAAAAATAGAAATTTTAGGCGTAATAGAAAGGAATGTTGTAACCGGGGTGGGTGAACCCTCATAAATATCAGGTGCCCACATATATAGAGTCAAAAGCGATATGGAGTCCGAAGGGGAGGGGGTTTTTCTATGGGGCTTGAGAGATGGTATAGATAGGGCCCAAAAAGTGTTGAATTCGCCGCTGAGGAATTAACGCGAAAGGGAACAAAGAATTATGCACGAAAAATAAAGTGCTCTTTGAACTGAATATTATAGGAGTTTTCCATCAGACGGTTGTTCCCGTAACTCCAATCTCCACATGGATTATATATCCAAAAAGGTCTGCTCTTGTCCATTCCACACGCTGCCTAGCAGAGGCGTGGTTATCTCAAGTGGATTATCTCTTTTTAGTAGATGCAGAACCTGCTTCCCCATTGACTAAGAAGGGGGCGGACACACTACATGGACCCCTTCCTTTCTATTGTTTCCAGCGCTTTTCTGGGCCGATATCTAAAGGGCAGGAAACGAAGGCTTCTATCCCAATAGGCCTGCAGGCAGAACGAGGAGAGGGTCCGGTAATCAAATCATACCACTGCAGTCGAAAAAGTGTGTTCCCTTCAGATAACATGCATCGTAGGACATCCTCGGCCTTCTTCATTTTCGATGAAAAATAAAAATAAAAATCTAGATCTCCGAAAGCGTTTTCCTTCCCCTGCCGCATATCCCTCCCTTCTTCGAGCCTTTCCTTTAATGGTTGAGGGGGGGCATTCCCTTATCTGAACTTGGCGGGCATTCTTTCCAGCCTTATTCAAATGGGGGTGGGTTTGGTTGGTTTGAACATAGGATAGGCTAGGCTCAGACATTATTTTCAGATCCTAGCTACGCCGTACATTCAATACATAATCTGGAAAGCTGCAGGGATGACAAAACGAGGGTGCTTTCCTGTGTTACACTGGAAAAAAAAGAAACATAAATAAGTAAGAGAGAGAGAAGATAGATTGTATCCCCTATATCGAACACTAAATCATATCTATTGATAGAAAGATCTTCGTCAAATACCGGATGTTGCCTTTAGGAATTCCTCAAACTCATATCCAAGGCAACTTACAACAAGCACCCCATCCTATACGACTAGTTGGGGTTCGCCTTTTTAATCAAACAAAGTCAGTATAAGTAGTAGGGGCTTCATAGCTACTTTCATTCTAAAGGAAAACTAAGAACCAACCTTTAGTCAGTAAGATCCCTACTTCCCTCTTTGCGACCTCATCACTTCAAAGCGCAAACCCATTTCTTTTTAAGTCACCGGGCAGAGCGTACCTTTGGTACTTCAGTAGGGAGAGATTTTTGATAGTTACTTCTTTTGTTTGGTAGGGCGACAAAAGAAAGGCTACTTCAATCTAGGAAACTCGAGAGGGTCTCCTTTGGAAGCATTTTCCGGTAACCAAAGCGTCACTCCTTCCTTTTGTTTGATTATGTCGTGATGCTGACTGAATCCAATCTATAAACCCGAAAATGAAACTAAGTTCGTTCCCTTTTGTTAAGTAGGTAAAGTAGGCATACGAACCCACTTTTTCTTTTCCTTATACTATATTGGAACAAAAAAAAAGAAGGAGGAGGAATGGAGAAGGACAAGGGCGGTCTTGCTTGGTGCAAAGGCTGCTGGTTCAGGGGTAGGTTATGGTACTAAAGGTCCTCAGAATTCTAGGCAGTGTTTCTTTTGGACAGTTGTTCACCGTTGGATCTTGCCAATATAGCCCCCTATTATTTTCATTACCAAGATATCTTTTTTTAAATTGTTCCCTTGGATTTTTGGGGTAATCCGCTCTCATGCTGCAAACAATCAAATCTGAACTAAACCTTATTGCTCTTCTTTCCTCGCGGGCAGGAAGCACACCAGCAGCGTGCGTTGCGTGATTCAAATGGGTTTTTTGCACTTGACTGGGTGGACAGTTGACCGGAAGATAACTTTGATTCACCCGGCCAGCTGGCGGGCGACGTGCTTATCTTGTGTGACAACACTACAGAGTGAGTGGCTCTTTTAGGCGGGCAGCTGTGTGACAACACTACAGAAAGCGGCGCTTTCATTTAACATGCTATGGTCTCAATGCCCTTACGAGATAGTGATGAGTTTCACGCGCTCTAAGCCTGGCACACGCCGCGCGCGGTTAGGAAGATTGGCCGCAATCTGAGTGGTACCACCCACTCTACCTTACCACCTATAGGCGGTCGTCCATTCTACAGCCGCCCAAAAAGGAACTGCATTAATCTTGAATAGGGATCCTACAGCGATAGATAGAATCCCCATAAAAATACGACTAGATCGAACACCAGTTATTTCGTATCCGGTCAAAATCTTGGCTAATTGATCAAAGTGGGTAGCTCTAGTAGACCCATAGATTATTGAACAAATATGGTGGGTAGGCCCAACCACCACACTACACGTATAGTTGCAAACCCCCCTCGTTACGTACGTGCGACTCTCACCGTATACGGCTTGCACAAAGACTCCTAAATCCATCCCGGGCCTTTTCTTCCACCTCTCCTCTCCAATCCTCGACCAAACTAGCGTTCCCCAGGCGCTATGAAATGGGGGTCTTTCCTTCGCCTATCGTATGTATCGGCTTGGCTTCGTCCAGAACCAAGGAGGCATTCTGGAAGACGCGTGCGTGTAGGAAGGCCGACCACTATGCTAAAAGACTACGATGACTACAACAGAAGAGAGTCGCTTCTATTCTCGTTGGGATTTTTTATATCTCAGGAATCTATAGATTATAGTAGTTTGCCAACCTCTCTAAGTAACATACGATACAATTTAACTTCACGGCACGGAAAAAAAGAAAGAGCTTCGCTCGGTGGGCCTTCCTGCGCTGACGAATGCCTCCTTTCTCTTCTCTGAAGTCTACAACAAACAAGTGGGAGAGACAGGATTCGAACCTACGTAGAAAAGCTTCAACAGATTTACAGTTTGTCGCTTTTGACCACTTGGCCACTCTCCCCTTCCCGGGCCGAGGCCTCGATTATAAGAAGGAGGGGAAAAACACGAAATAAAGCTTATTTTGGGAACTAATACTATTTTTTAGCTTAGCTAGTGTTCCACTAGTCATTTAGTCAGTTCATAACAATCTCTGTACAAAGGAAAAAGCTTTTACAACAGCTCCCCCTAGTCGCTTCTGGTGAAGCTGTGAGTATGAGCAAGTGAATGAATGAACGAGATGGTTTGAAATTGATTATAAAAGAACCTATTTCACCAAGTAGTGCTAATTTCTCCCTTTTTAGAACGGCTCTAGTGGCTACATTTATGTTAAGTCTGGTTGCTCGGACTGTTGTACCTTTTGATTATGGCATGGTATTGTCAGATTCAAACATAGGGCTACTTTATTTGTTTGCCATATCTTCGTTAGGTGTTTATGGAATTATTACAGCAGGTTGGTCTAGTAATTACGGGGCGGCCGTTCGGTCGCCTATGATACTAGGACCAATAGGTCAAAAATGGGTTTGTGCCGCAGGTGTTGAGCGATCTACTCTACACAGGTGTGGAGTTACAGGGCTAGGGATCATAAAGCCTTTCTTTCATTCAAAAAGAGGGCCCTGGTCAGTCACTTTTCCGTTCCGGGATCGATAGATAAGTGGAAGTCATAAAAAAGAGATATGTCTCTTCGCACCTAAGATGAAGAAGAAGGGTAGCTTGTCAAGCTGACCTATATAAAATATATTATTCATTATTATAGAATCTTTTAGAAAAATATTTTTCTAAGGATTCACTGTCTTTTAACCGTCTGTTCTTCTTTGTCAATGCTACTAAGGACCTATGGGTTAGCCTACTAATGTATTGTATAATAGGGTTTAGTAGGCGAGTGAGTTAGCGAAGACGCTTAGGCTAATAGATAAGAGAGCGTCAGTGTGTAACCTTCATTCTATTATGCTACGCAAAGGTTATGGAGTCACTTAGCTCGACGTTAGGAGAGTCAAGGGGGAAGAACATACCTACATAGAAGAACCGTTGTTCGCTGACTTTCTAAGGTCTAACCTTTCGCTCCCCTACTGAAAAGGGGAACAAAGCCGCTTTGCACCGCTGATAGACTACTTAAGATTCAATGCAAAAGGACCTACTGATTTTCGCAAGCCTTTGTCATTGTCAGTCAACTAAGTAGGGCCTGAGGCCCCCTTCTAATCCGTAAATATTAGGAGCATGCCATAACACAACAAAAGGATGGTCCCCTATGCATTTAATTAATTCCGGAAGGGAAGAAAAGTACCCCATCATGGTGAACCTCTCCTTGTGATCGGGATGATGTAGATGCCTCCCTGAGGTAGATGCCTCCCTCCGATCATGATCTACTTACTCCCTATGATATAGCTTATGTTCAATAGGATCGAGACAACTCTTTCAATTCAAAATGAAAGGCAAGCAGGAATTGAACCCACTAATGGGCCAGCACTTGGCGTTTACTCTAGCACGTCTTTATAGGATATACCTATTTATTAAGTTGTCTTTCCCCTTACCTTATTAGTAGATCGGTTGAGGCCCGACCCTTGGGGTTTCCGACCTTTATGCCTAAGGGGCTGAGCTGTAGGTTAGAAAAAAAGAGTTGTAGAAAGAGAGGAATCGAGATAAAGTGCACTTTCCCTTGATGTTACTCTATTCCAATAAAGCACACAATAAGTGAGATGAGTCAGCCAGCCCAGCTTTGGCCCTATGCGTTTTGGACAGCTCGTCTGGACTTGGCTTTGACCGGTCTTCCCCCCTCTTGCAAGGATTCGGCGCCTCCACTTGATGTTTTACACCCACACTTTTTTCAGGAAGCGCTACTCAGATATGTCTTGCCTTTTTTTCGCCAATGTTGTGCTACTTCCAGGATTTGTTTTGGCCAAGCTCGGGAACCTTCCCTTTAGTGAGAAGCTCTATCCCGGGACAAAGGGAAAGAGAGGGGGAAGGCCAAGTACGAGATGAGATCACAAGGATTGGGCTGGAGCTTGACAAGATCAATACAGGAAACCATACAATCGAAGGCTAGCAAGAAGAAGAAAAAAGATAGTAAAAGCTCAAGGGGTTCATCACGAAGGCAAGTGCTCCGGTGGAAGCTATCAAATAAAAGGTCAGACCGGGTAGTGGTAGTTAACCGGGGGAGGCAGTGAGTCATCCATAAGGATGGGATCCCTCTACTTCATATTTTTGGCTTTTCTTTTTCTTGCGTTGATGCTTCCATTCCAAAGCGGCTCTGTCTCCGCCTCAGCCTTCTCCGCTCCCTATTGGGTATCTCTGAGGACTTGAGCTAAGGGATTATTTACTGAATGTAACATACTTGACCTATCGCTCCATTCGGTGAAGTAACCCCTTTACATTTCTTTATCTTTCTAGAGGTAAGAGGAATCAACCTGAAATGCGTGAACCGGTGCCCTTTTCTAAGACTCTTCTATATAAAATCTGTTACAGGATTAAATCCTTCACACTTATACATGGTTGGAACATTTTTTGGTCATTTGTGGTTGATTGGATTAAACTTCCAATTATTGAGAGATAGATAAGGTATGATTCTAAGTTAGAGTTCAAAGTGGTTCTTACACTGAAGCCCTTGCCCTTGCCAACAAGTGACTAACTACAAGTAAAGATAGAGTCCCCATAAAACTTCATGAAGATGATATTTGCTTTAGCTGGGTCTTACAGACGGGAAGACATACCAGCATGTGGAAGAGGTAGAGAGACTGGCTTACTAGGTCGAAGCGACAAGCCTTAGTCAAAGAGTCTGTTTTGATCTGAACCTCGATCTCTATAGTTTACTTACTCATCATAATACAAAAGATAAATCTCCTATATAATAAGTATTCGTAAAACATCCGAGGACCGTATCATTTATGTATGCTCTCGGCCAAGAAGGGCAACTACCTATCGCAAGATACCTCAAGCGAGGGGTAGGTGGTAGCTTGGCTTAGCCTTACCCTAAGCCGTACAGAACTTCAGTCTAATTTTTGCAGGGTCTGGGTAGGTGCAGGAAGTCGGAGAGAGAAGTACTGATTTATATAGGGCACAAGTCCTCGTATAATTGGTTTGCTTTCGCGGCAGCAGTGTGAAGGGATATTACTGTATTAAATTTATAGAAATTGATCCCCTTCTTTCATATAGCCTACCTGGACTATGAAAACCTATGCCTCTCTAACCGACATATGTCCTTCAGTCCTTCGGGGAGGCCTGTTGTTGGTCTTGGAGAGAGCGATCGACCGTCATCATGCTTCTTAGACTGAGTTAACGCACCTATTTACTACGCGCATATCTGTTATCTAGGAACCAGAGATTCATCTTTCACATTTTTTATAACTTTCGCTTCTTAGGTATAAAAATCTTCCATATGGATTTTTTACGGTAATGACTAAGTATAGTCTCATTCTTCAACATTCGGAATGGCGGTCTTGGCCCGACCTTATTTCTTATGTTTAAGGTACTTTTTCTACAACAGAGGGAAGTTGCCAAGAGTGAAGTTCACGTGTCCCAAAGAGAAGAGCTTTGGAGCTCCCTCTCCCTCTATTTTAAGACAGACTTTGAGTTTGAGCAGGGAGGGCGAGATGACAAGGGAATCGGCCAAAGGCATCTATCATCTCATCGGAGAAGCGGTCCTAATCTAATAAAGGGTTTCCTTGCCTTACCAAAAGGAGTAAAATGTAAATGGAAATCCCTGGTGCCAAGAAAGTAACCTTTATACTGCTCAATCTAATCCTGCCTAGCATATGTTGGCGTGGCAACAAAGGCCCTATTCTCATATTATAGCTATGCTTGGAGCTTGCAATCCTTGAAAAAGTCCAACCTGCATATTTCTCTATTAACTGCACCTGCCTTCGGTCTTAGTTCGTAATGACAAAATTTATTCTTTTAAGAAAGAAAGCTTGGGGATTGATTCACTGACTTCACCACCAGTATCGGATATGACCAGAGCTTTTAATTTCTCAACAACTATTACTATAATAGAAAAGAATGGAATAGGTTGGTTATTTAACGAGAGATAGGCTTAGAGCCAGTAGTTTCCCTTAGATTATTCAAATTTCATTGCAGATGATCTTCTTGGGCAGTGATATCCCCCACCCAAAGTAAGGGTCCGAAGGATAAAAAGTACTACTTATTTTAATTCGTATCTTAAGTCTTTCCAGTTCCTATTCAAGTGAACGGGGCATCTTTGCATTCCTCCTGGCTGCACGAATAGGAAAAGTTTAAGTTGTTATCGGAGCAGGTAATCTCTCATGCCCTGCTTATTGAGACTCGTCTCCATCCTATCTACTCTTGTGCTAATGTTGAAAATATAATTATAATTGGATAAAAATCAAGAATAATAGGATGCTTAAGCCAATAAGATAGATAAAGCATACCCCTACTACTCGTAAAAAAACTATGTCACTTCCTTCCCTAATGTTCAGTGGAACGTGAGGCACTATTCCCACAGCAGCTGGTTGGATTCTCCAACTTTGGCAATATGGAAATCTTTATTAGGTCAATTAGGCTTCGCACCTTCCTTTCCCTGTGGTTTAATCGGAGCAACCGCTCAATACATATTATTTGGAAAAGAAAGCTCACTACTTTAATTTAGGAGTGAAAGAGCCCGAACAACTTTTATTGCACCAAGAGCGGGAACTCAAATAGCATATGAGTAGCTCGAATCTAGCTAGACTGCTCGCTAGGCCCCCTGCCTCTCTTTAAGTATCAAAATAGAAGATCTTTGGGTCTCGACTATCACTTTACTTTCCTAAGTTTCAAAGGATTTAATAAGCTGACTCTCGCAGCGTTTAGTGATTCAATCACACTGGAAAGGATAATTCTCAGAGCGTCAAGGCTTAGAGCTTCTTCTCAAGATGACTATTTTGTGCATGGGTTAACTATTAATTCAATTGCACAAAGAAGCCTAGTGGTACTAA